AGGGGTGAGAGTGATCCCCTGTGCCTGAGCCTGCTGAGGGCTGAGAGTCATCCCCAGTGCCTGGGCCTGCTGTGGGGTTAGAGTGATCCCTTGTGCCTGAGCCTGCTGAGGAGTTAGAGTGAGGAACTTTGTGGGATTCTGTCCAGAAACTGGAAGGGCCTCAGGTGAGGGTGATTGTGTAGAGGGAGGAGTGGTTGGTATAGGCTGCTTTCCATCAGCAAGAATGTCTAATGCCTTAAGATGCCCATGGAACTCTTTTCTTTGGTGTAACTGGGATGCTACTTTTGGTATGGTCTTCCACCGGGGAGACAATGTCATTGAAGTTTGGCTGAACATCTTTTCTTGTTCTTCGGAGTTTTTCTCATTTATCTTCATCTGATCCTTTGTTTTTTTCTGCCTCTGCCTTTCATGGTCCTCTACATTTCTCCTTGGCCTTTGCTTCTCCTCTTTCTCCCAATTTATTTCCAGCTCTTGATGTCTCATTTCCTTCTGAACATGCCTCTTCTGCTGTCCCTTCTCCTTCTCCAGGGGCGGTGCTTGTTTTTCCATTTTTCGATTCCATGCTTCCAGCTGCTGCTGTTTTAACTTCTGATAATCTTCTTCCTCTTCTCTTTGTGTTTGCTCCTCATCTTGCTCAGTCTGCTTTTGCATCCTCTGTTTCTGCTGTTCCTTCCGCATTTCCTCTTCCTGCCTCTGTTTCTGCTTCTGTTGTCCTTGCTTTCCTTCCTTCATCTGGAGCCATAACTCTTCCTCCAGCAGTTTTTTATTTATCATCTCATAGCCCTTCTTCCAGAAACTCCCTTCTTGCGACTGGTGTTTGAGACCCTTACCAAATATTTTTTCTTGACCTTCTTGCAAATGTTCCTCCCGCCTTTGTTTTTCCTCTTCCTTGTGGTCTCTCCCTACTGTTGAGGCTACTGGAGCATCTCTTTCCCCTTCTATCTCAGTCAAGATCATTTGTATTAAATTGTCAGTTAGTGGGTCCATGCTCTTAGATGACAGTAATGTGCTAATTTCAGTCTTTGCACTAATGGGCTTCTGAAAATGCAATCCTGGCATAAATGAGACTTCTTTTTTTCGTTTCATAGGTTTCTCTCCCACTTGTCCTGCACTTTTTATATCTTTGTATTTCCTCAAGGTTTTTGTCACAGTTTCAGCCACATTTTGGAAATATTCCTCTATTTTTGCCTTTATGATTCCTAATTTTTCAACCTCTGCCATTTTTAATAATAACTCCTCTTTTGGCACAGTCTTTTTATCCAAAGGCTTTCCTATGTTATCAATTTTCTCTTTTAGGAAAGCCATTATGGCTTTTTGAAATTCTTCTAGGTTACTCTCTTCACTTTTGCCATCTGGACTTCCCAGAACTCTGGTAGATTCTGAAGTCTCTTCTGTTACCCTAGATTTTGGCTTCACAAGTCCGTGAGACTTGACTTTCTTGGTGAGGACTAATATGTCCTCTTCAGTTTTTCTCTGTTTGCTTGTGGTGGTTTCTGAAGTGACGTGGTGTTTCTTTCCTTTTGTTTTCACTTTCTCAGAGGAATAACCAAGTTGGGTTAACCCGAATTGCTCTGCTTGGCTGCTCATCTCGCTTTTGGTCTCTTTGTCCATTGACTCAGTGGTGGGTTCCTCTTTATTCTCTGAAGAAATCTGGCTTTTGTCACGTGGATACTCAGGCTTGAGCTTCCTGAATTGTTCCCATATACTGCTTGTTCCACTTCTGCTACCTTGGCTTTTTGTGTCAGTAGAAGGGTAATCAGCAGGGACATGTGGACTTCTTGATTCAGTGGATGACTTTGATTTGTCTTCAGAAATGGATTTTATTTCTTTTCTCTTCTTTTCCAGTGACTGTAGCTCCAAATGGTAATCAAGTTTGGTCTCTGAGTCTCTCTCTTTACCTTTATCATCACTCACATTTAATCCAGAGGTCTCATGCATATATGGGCCTTTAGTTCGCTGTTTATTCTGTGATTGGTACTGGTCAGTCCCATCTTTCTGATAGATATCACCTTTCTTCAGTGATATCTTATCTTCAGTGATATCTTCAGAAGACTCTTTTGGTTTTTTTTCAAGTAAAGGATATCGCTCTTCAATTAAACCTGGAGTCATTTCAGCTGGGGCTATATATGAAATAGCTGAGTCCCACTTGATCCCCAAGCCTTTGGTCTCTTTTGTTTGGGTCTCATCTATAATATTTTCCAATTCTTTAACCAAAATATCATCCATACTGTTTTCTGTGTCAGCTTTGCTAGTGGATGATTGTGAAGAAAGCTCGGGCAACACTTTCAAGGTTGATGTGGGTAATGCTGTACCTACTTGGGGTTCTACAACACCTTTGGACCAAATAAATTGTTCATATTTTTCTTCTGCATCTTGAAGTTTCTGCTGAAGCATTTCATTTTTTTCATTGAGCTCTCGCATTATCTTCAGGGAGAGCTCTTTTTCTTTTTCACTTGTCTCACTTATATACATATTGGCACTCTGGAGGTTAAAAACTTTTAGTTCATCATTTAGTGTACTCAAAGCTTTGGAAAGGTTTATTATCGTTGATGATATATATTTAATAGCACTGTTTTCCAATTTATTGAACATTGTAGTGTTTATGAGTTCCTGTAGCATATCTTGGATTTCTGAAACCTTTGTATTTGTTGCAAATTCATCACTAATTATCTGATCTGGTCTTAAAGCATGAGCAGTTGCTGGTCGCTTTATAACTCTTTCTTTCCAAGATTTCCATAGAGTACCTCTAGATGCTAAAGGAAAAAAAAACCCATAAAACATAAAATAATGAGATTGCATTTCTTGTTCTGTGTTGTGCTCTATCTATGCTAAAGCCTAAGGAATTTAGCCAAAATTTATAGATAGCTATAGGATAAAGATTCATCAGAAAGCCTTGGCTCCCATTGGTCACCTGACTGGTTCAGTCTGTAGAGCATGTGACTTGATCTCGGAGCTGTGAGTTTGACCGCACATTGGGTGTAGAAACTACTTAAAAGTAAAATCAAAAAAAAAAGCTTTGCCTCAAAATTAAGTAGTATTATTTTTAAAAGAATAACTCTTCCCACAATCACTTAGAACTTTTGCTTCCAAACTAGTCTTTATTCTTTATTTGTAATCTCAATTTACCTTCAGTTACAAGCTTGGGATTAGATATAAACTTTCCTTTGGCTTTGATTATACTTGGTGCTTTCCATTTTCTTTCTTGGCTTTCTGCCTTTCTTTTCTCACTTTTCTGAATCACACTTAATCTTGGTTCCTTCAGAAGAGTCAAAAAAGAGCAGACAAAGTCAAACATTTGAAGGGATTTCTAGAATGGCTGAATGAGAAACTAAGCACATTTTTCCCCCCAAAAAAGCAATGATAGAGCTTGACAAAGCTGCCAAAACCAACCATTTTAGGACTTTGGAAATTGACCAAAGGCATACAACAATTTGGTAAGCATTTATTCAAGAAAAATTACTAAACTTCAGTAAGAACAGTGGAAGTCTGTGATGTTTTAGCCTGGAGATTCTTCTGTCTCTAACTCTCCCACCCAGTGGCCTAGGTGTTCTACTAAAGTGAGGCAGGCTGTGAAGTTTAACAGCTCTACTGCCTAACGGGCTGACTTGATTTGGAATAAAGCAGGGAAAAAAACATGCTTAGGGGCATTGTCTAAAACAATACTTCCTTAACCCATACACAGACCCATTAGCAAAGAATAGAAGACTTACTGAATCAGTCTGGATCACTTAATGATTGGCCAATTATTGACCACTAAGCTATGCTGACCCAGAGGTGACCCCTAGGAATTCAGGCCTCAAAATAAAAACAAAAATGAAAAAAGAATAAAAGAATAACTGAGCAGAAATATCAGTGACTGCACATTGTTGGGGAGACAGACTCTACTGAATTAGTCCAGGGAAGTCACTAAAAAGCAAACCAAAAAAGGGACCAAAAAAAGCCCTGGAGGTTATAGGGAAAATCAGAGTCTAAAGTTGCTATAGGGGGCACCTGGGTGGCTCAATTGGTTGAGCATCTGCCTTTGGCCCCAATTGTGATCTCAGGGTCCTGAGATTGAGCCCCGCGTTGGGCTCCCTGCTCAGCAGGGAGCCTGCTTCTCCCTCTGCCCCGCCCCCCATGCTGTCTCTCTCAAATAAATAAATAAAATCTAAAAAAAATTAAAAAAATAAAGTTGCTATAATATGTTATTTAAAATGTCCAGGTTTTTTTAGGCGGGGGAGGGGCAGAGGGAGAGGGAGAGAGAATCTCAAGCAGGCTCCCTGTCCAGTGTGGAGCCCAATGTGGGGCTTGATCTCACAACCCTGAGATCATGACCTGAGTTGAAATCAAGAGTCAGGTGCTTAATTGACTGAGCCACCCAGGTGCCCATAAAATGTCCAGTTTTTAACATAAAAGGAGCATGCAGAGAAACAGAAAAGTATAACCTATACACGGGATAAAATCAGTCAATAGAAATTGTCTCAGGGATTGGGAGGGGAGGAGATGTTGCACTTATCAGAAAAAGACTTTGAAAGAAGAATTATAACTATGTTCAAAGAACTAAAAGAAGCCAAATTTTAAAATAAAGGAAAAATAGAATGACAATTATCATTAAATAGAGCCTATCAATAAAGAGACGGAAATTAGAAAAACCAAGTGGAAAATATAGACTTGCAAAGTACAATAACTGAAATGAAAAATTTACCAAAAGGGCCCAACAGTAGATTTTAAATGACAGAAGAAAATAACCAGCAAATTTGACACTAGATTAGTAGAGATTGTCTAATCTGAAGAACAGGGAGGAAAAAGAATTAAAAAAAAAATGAACAAAGCCTCAGAGACCTGTGGGACACCATCAAATATGCCATTGTACAAGTGATAGAAGTCCAAGAAGAAGAGGAGACAGAGAGGAACATTAAAAATATTGAGGAGTAGGGGCTCCTTGGTGGCTCAGTCAGTTGAGCGTCTGCCTTCAGCTCAGGTCATGATCTCAGAATCCTAGGATTGAGCCCTGTGTCAGATTCCCAGCTTAGGGGGGGCCATTTGCTTCTCCCTCTCCCTCTACCCTCCCACCCCACTCATGCTCTCTCTCTCAAATATATAAATAAAATCTTAAAAAATATATTGAGGAAATAATAATGGCCAAATCATCTCAAACTTGATGAAAAACATTAATCTACACATTCAAGAAGCTCAGTGAACTCTAAGTAAGATAAACATAAAAAGATCCATACCTAGATACATCATAGTAAAACTGTTGAAAGCTACACAAAGAGTCTTTAAAGCAAAAAGAAAAAAATGACTTATCACAATCAAAGGAGACTCAAAACTCAAAGTACAGGGGAACCATAGTAAATTTAACAGCTTACTACTTATTAAAAACAATAGAGGCCAGAAGACAGAGAGATGACAAATTCAAAGTGCTGAAAGAATAATTCTGCTAACCAAGAATTCTATATCCAGGGAAACTACTCTTCAAAAAATGAAGGAAAGACATCCATTCCCTGAAATAACACTCTTCCCAAAGTAGCATGCACATGCAATTCTCATAACCATCCTCATTACATGTATCTTTTAACATTTCTCTAAATGCATTACAGAATTTCTATTACATCCATTCCCTGAAATAACACTCTTCTCAAAGTAGTATGCACATACAGCTCTTGTAACCATCCTTATTACATGTGTTCTTAAACAGTTCTCTAAATATATTTCAGTATTCACTGAAATAACACTCCTGCAAAGGAACTTGAAGTGAACACTCATATATCCATAGTTAATGCATGTGTTTTCACAACTTCTCTAAATGTGGTACAGAATGTCTATTACATCCATTCCCTGAAATAACTCTTTTCAAAGTACCATACATGTACAATTATTTTTTAAAATGAAGGTAAGAAATAAGACATACAGATGACAACTAAGGATATGAAAAGATGCTCAGTATTGTCTGTCATTAGAGAATTGCAAACTGGTGCAGCCACTCTGGAAAACAGTATAGAAGTTCCTCAAAAAGTTAAAAGTAGAACTACCCTACAACCCAGCAATTGCACTACTAAGCACTTACTCAAAGGATACAAAAAATAGCCATTTGAAGGGGTACATGCACTATGATGTTTATCACAGCATTATCAACAATAGCCAAATTATGGAAAGAGTCCAAATATCCATCAACTGATGAATGGATAAAGAAGATGTGGTATGTGTGTGTGTGTGTGTGTGTGTGTGTGTGTGTGTGTGCGCAATGGAATATTACTCAGCCATCAAAAAGAATGAAATATTGCCATTTGCAATGACGTGGCTGGAACCGAAGTGTATTATGCTAAGTGAAATAAGTCAGTCGGAGAAAGAAAAGTACCATATGATTTCACTTATATGTGGAATTTAGGAAACAAAACAGATGAACATAGGGAAAGGAAGAAAAGAAAAAGAGGGAGGCAAACCCATAAGAGACTATTAACTATGGAGAACAAACAGAGTTGCTTGGGGGGGGGGCAGGGAATGGGCTAAACAGGAGATGGGGATTATTAAGGAGGGCACTTTTTGTGATGAGCACTTGGGTGCTGTATGTTATATTTAGTGGTGAATCACTAAATTCTACTTCTGAAACCAGTATTACACTGTGGGTTAACTAACTAGAATTTAATTAAAAACTTGAAACAAAAAAAAAAGAGAATTGCAAATTATGAGATACTGTTACGCATATATGAAAATGGCTAGAATCCAAAAAACTGATAATGCCAAATGCTAACAAGGACATGGAGTGACAGGAAATCTTGTTTGTTGCTGGTGGGAATGAAAAATGGCACAGCTACTTGGGAAGAGAGTTTGGCAGTTTTTTACAAAGTTACTTATGAAGTAATATAGTCTTATCGTATATCTAGCAATCATGCTTCTAGGCATTTACCTAATTAATTTGAAAACTTATGTCCATGAGAATGTTTATATATAGCAACTTTATTCTTAATCACCAAAACCTGGAAGCAATCAAGTGTCCTTCAGTAGGTAAATAAACAAACTGGTGAATCTATACAATGGAATATTATTCAGCAGTAAAAAGAAATAAGCTATTAAGCCACAAAAAGATAGGGAGGAACCTTAAATGTGTATTGCTAAGTGATAGAAGCCAGTGTGAAAAAGCTACATACTGCATGATTCCAATTATATGGCATTCTTGAAAAGTCAAAACTATGGAGACATTAAAAAAATCAGTAGTTATCAGGAGTTTGGGGAGAAAGGGGAAGGATTAATAGGTGAAACACAGAGGATTTTTAGGATGGAGAAACTATTCCATATGATACCGTAATGGTGGATACATGACGAGATACATTTGTCAAATCCCATAGAACTCTATAGCTCAAAGAGTGAAACTTCATGAATGCAAAAATTTTTTTTAATTGTTTTTTTAGATTTTAATTTATTTGAGAGAGAGAGAGAGAGAGATAGTGAGAGAGAGCACAAGTGGGGAGGAGAGGGAGAAGCAGGCTCCCCGCAGAGCAAGGAGCCTGATGTGGGACTCAATCTGAGGACCCCCGGGATCATGACCTGAGCTGAAGGCAGATGCTTAACCGACTCAGCCACCCAGGCACCCTGAATGCAAAAATTTTTAAGTACCCATTTAGGAGGTCAGGGGATCCCAGGAAAGAATGTTGATTGTGATACTGTATAAGAAATGTATGACACAACCTCACTGAAAGGAATGAAGGGGGAGGGCAGAGTGCTGACCTAAGTAACTGGAAATGGAGTTTGTAAGACTGCAGGCAAAGGGAACTGCATGTAAGTATTGTACCCTAGTTGATAAGTTATTCCTCACTGGGGTATGGGTTAATAATTCTGATACTGCTATGCATGTATACTGGAATTGAACAATTAAGTAAAACAGATGGTAGGAGGAAGTTTCTCACTGAGTTATAATTTATAGATAAGCAAGGGGAAGAAACTAAAATGATCCATGTGCGTGATAATGAATTAGAGTTAGAGAAATCAGTATGAACTTATGTTTAAAGTATTAGATTTGATTGATTGATTGATTTATAGGTAAGTGTATACACATTGGTTCTATACACAAACATTTTTTTTGCTCTGTCAGATGAAAGAACTGAACAGAAATGATACCCCAGTAGCAATGAGCTCTCCTAGCAACCAGACTTTGCTTTTTAATACTATTCTCCACTAAAAGGAACCAGAAATCCTTGGAGAAATGGCAGATTCTAGGATTGGGGCAGGACATATTTGAGATGAACCTGAAGCATCTTGTAGTGCCAGAAAGTAGGGAAGTGCCAAAAAAAATAAAAATAAAAACCACATTGATGGGGGTTATGTTAAAGGGGCACAGGAACCAAGTGAAGAGGTCCCAATGGCCAAAACTAGAACAACTGGAGCAAGAAAATAGTAGAATTGGATTATAACTCAAAGTACAAAATAAATATCTGTTGAGTTCATTTTGATATAAATAATTGAGTAAATTAATAAACAAGGAAGAAGAGATAAACTCTAGTGCATAAAAACTCCAAATAATTTATGTAGATATTCATCCTAAAAGAAAGGGAGCATAACTCCCCATTCCTAAGTGTGGGCTGCACATACAGACTTACTTTTAAAAAGCACAGCATGGAAAATGAGGAAAAAGAGTAACTTTACAATGGAGAAACCTGACAAGCACTACTTTAGCCGGGTAATCAAGGTCAACATTAAGTCATCAATCATTTGATAGTATGTGCCCTTGAAATTATATGATGACAATGGTACTTTACCTCTGTGATCTTTCCTCTCAGAACCCATAACCCCAGGGTAAACATGAGAAAAACATCAGACAAATTCCAACAGGGGAGCATCTTATAATATATCTGACTGGTACTTCTCAGGCCTGTCAGGAACATCAAACAGAAGGCAAAGTCTGAGAAACTGTCACAGTCAAGAAAGCCTAAGGAGACATGACAACTGTGTAATCAGGTACCCGGATGGGATCCTGAAACAACACAAGGACGTTAGGTAAAAACAAGGAATTATGACTTCAGTCCAAAATTATGGACTTTAGTTAATAATGTTTCAATACTGGTTTGTTGATTGTCACAACTGAATCATACTAATGTAATATATTAATAATAAGGGAAACTCTGAAGAGATACATGGAATTCTCTGTATTATTTTCTCAATTTTTCTCTAAATCTAAAACTGCCTTTAAAAAAATGAAAGTGAAATAAAGACATTCCCAGATAAGCTAAGAGGGAAAGAATTTGCTTCTAGTAGACCTACCTTACAAGGAATATAAAGAAGTCCTTCATACTGAAAGGAAATGATACCAGAGGATAACTCAAATTCACACAAAGAAATAAAGAACACCAGTATATATAGGTAAAAATAAAAGAAAGTAAAAATATTTTTTCTTTTTCCTCTCTTAACTGATTAAAAAGACAATCTATAAAACAATAATTATGAAACTATATTGCTGGGCTTATGATACATAAAAATGTAATATATATGACAAAGCACAAAGGAGGGGAAGAGAATGGAGCTATTGAAGCAAAAATTCTATATTTTCCTGGTATTAAGTTAGTACTAATCTTAAATAGATTATGATAATTTATGATGTATACTGCAATCCCTTAGAGCAGCTACTAAGGAAATTACTCCAAAAATATAGGGGGAAAATGTAATTGAAATGGGTCACTAAAAAATATTTGTTTAACCCAGAGGTAGTAAAAGAAGAACAGGGGAACAAAAGAGATGAGACATGAGAAACAAATAAAACGTGGCAGGTGAAAATCCAACCATATTAATAATTACATTAAATATCAATGAATCAAGCACTCCAATCATAAGTCAAAGATTGCCAAATTTTATGTGTGTGTAGGTGTTTGTGTGTGTGTGTGTGTGTGTGTGTGTGTGTGTGTGTATTTAAAAGCTGACAAGATCCAACTAATAAGCAACACATCTTTGATTCAACTTTGCAAACAGTAACTGCAGGGGAGCTGGAGATAATATACTTATATCAAACATAATAGACTTTAAGACAAAAAAATGTTTCTAGAGACAATGAGGGACATTTTATAATAAGAAGGTCAGTTCATCAGGAAGTTATCACAATTATAAACATATATGCACCTAATAACAGAGACTTAAAATATTGGAAGCAAAAATTGAAAGAATTAGAGAAATCAACAACTCAATAATAATAGTTGGAAAGTTCAATATCCCACTCTCAATAATAGAACAACCAGCAGAAAATCAGTAAGGATATATATATATATATAGAAGACTAAAACAACAACATAAATCAATTATAGAACACTCCACCCAACAACAGCTAAATATATATTCTTTTCAAGCACACACGGAACATTCTCCAGGATAGACCATATGGTAAGCTATAAAGCAAATCACAATGAATTTAAAAGGATTGAAAGAATACAAAGTACATTCCCCAAAATACTTTGTAATGGGTAGTTAGATAATATATAATTTCCTAGTGATTCTGCTTCTCTGGTTCAACACTGACTGATACAAGTTTTTAATACAACACTAAAACCATGATCCATAAAAGAAAACATTGATAAATTGATTTGACTTCATCAAAATCCAACACCATTAGGCTTCAAAGACCCCATTGAGAAAGTGAAAAGACAAACCACAGATTGAGAGAAAATATTTGAAAATCACATTTCTTTTTCTTTTTTTAAGATTTTTATCTATTTGGGGTGCCTCCCTCTGCTTGTGTTCCTTCTCTCACTGTGTCTCTCTGTCAATTAAATAGATAAAATCTTTTTTTTTAAGATTTTATTTATTTATTTGAGCAAGAGGGAGAATGAGCAAGAGAGTGAGAACACAAGCAGTGGGAGAAGCAGAGGGGGAGGGAGAAACAGGCTACCCATTGAGCAGGGAGCCAGATGCAGGGCCCAATCCCAGGATCCTGGGATCACGACCCAAGCCTAAGGCAGATGCTTAACAAACTGAGCTACCCAGGCACCCTGAAAATCACATTTCTGATAAAGGGCTTGTATCCAGAATACATAATGGACTCTTAAAACTCAAATAATAAAGTGGGTAAATATTTGAATAATCATTACATCAAAATAAATATAAGAATGGCTAATAAGCACCTGAAAAGATGCTCGACATCATTAGTCTTTAGGGAAATGCAATTTAAAACCACAGTGGGATACCACTTCACACATCTTAGTAAGGTTATATTAAAAAAGACTGTAACAAGTGTTGTTGAGAATGTGGAGAAACCGGAACCTTAATACATTGCTGATGGGAATGTAAAATAGTGTGGTCACTTGGGCAATAAGTTAACAGTTTCTTAAAAAGTTAAGCATAAACTTACCAGCAATTGATAAATGACCCAGAAATTCTACTCCTGGGTATCTACCCAAAAGAAATGAAAACATATGTCCACACAAAGACTTATACATGTGTGTTCATATCAGCATTATTCATAAAAGTCAAATGTAGAAACATTCCAATGTCCATGAACTGGTGAGTAGGTAAACAAAATGTGGTATATGCAAACAGTGAGATAGAATTGGTAATAGAAAGAAACTACTAATACATCCTATAACATGGCTGAATCTCAAAACCATTATGTTAAATAAAAGAAACCAGATATTTTAAAAAATAAACACATATATGATTCCATCTTATGAAACATCCAAAAAAGGCAAACCTATTGAAACAGAAAATAGATTGGTACATGTCTGGGACTGGGGTGGGAAAGAGGATTGACTGCAAATGGGCATGAGGGATCTTTTTGGGATGAAGGAAATGTTCTAAAATTGAATTGTGGTGAGTTACTCAACTCTAAATTTATTAAAAGTCATTGAATTGTACACTTAACATATATGAGTTTTATGGTATGTAAATTGTACCTTAATAAAGCCATTTTTTAGAAAAAGTCAAATCTGTTTCCAATGTCTTAAGGCACCCTTACTTATTTTTTTCTTTTGTCTCTTCTTTTCTTCAAGCAAAGATACACTAATTCTACTCAGTATCTTGACATTGTTCTCAATAGCTTTGAACTTTTCTGGTAAAAACTCCATTTGTGCTATCCAGTGGTGGTGGTCCTCAATATCCACTGCAGTCATCTCAGACAAAATGGCATCTTGAAGAGAGTAAAAAAATACTTTTGTGCAGAAAAATAATTATAACCATATAGGCCTATAATATTGGCTAACTACTCCATATTGTAGTATTGGGGAATGTAGATATCTCACACTTATTGCTATTCTGAAGCTTTTCTCTATGAAGAAATGAAAAAGGAAGAGACTTGGAATAGAAAGCTGAACAATAAATCTTGGACATGAAAATACTCTGGTATCTAAAAATGTGAGCATGTGTTTTAATATTGAGGAACTAAACCCAATTAACTCCTTTCATAAGTTATTTAGTATTTTAAAACCCTCATTACATGTTATTTCTTGCAACTTAATGACATCCCCTTTTTGTATTCTAAGCTTATTCGTTCTTTCATTTAACCAATATCTCCTTTGTCATGTATTGTTCTAGATACTGAGGATACAGCACTAAATAAAACAAATTCCCTGACTTCATACTGCTTGCATTCTAGTGAAAGGAGACAGACAAAAATTAGTTATGTAGTATGTTAGATGGTAAGAAATGTTACAGACAAAAATAAAGAGTAAGGAGTAATGGACAGTGCCCAGGAGTAGGGAATGGAGATGGTCAGAGAACACATCATTTTAAAGTGAGATATAAACAGAGAATGAGCCACATGGCTACTTGTGGACAATGTTCCAGGCAAAGGGATAGCAAGCACGAAGACACTGGGTAGGGGCATGCAGTCTTCTTTGAAGAAAAGCAAGGAGCCCAGAATAGCTGGCATTAAGTGAGCAGGACTATATTTTTCTTATTTTATTCTTACTGAAACAGTGGATAACTGTTTTCTCAATAACCTCATTAGTCTTCTTTAGTCTGATTAATCCTTTAAAATTTATAGATCCTGTTCTCTAGCTTTTTCATTAACTTAATGGTTTTCCTTTGAACCACCTCTGGAAACTCACTCCATTCTTCCAACCAGGCCAGGATGTACACAAGAGTCTTTTCTCTAATTTCAGCATTCTTAGCATAAGTAACTATTTTCTCCAGGAAATTTCCTCTCCGTTTCTTATATTCTGTAAGGGAGATTTTTCTTCCAGAGTGCACGTTCTCATCAAGAGTGTAGCGATTTATTATCCGCTGCACATTGAGCATTATGTCAGTCAGCTGCGTGTTAATGTCCTATAAGAATAAGAAGGGGGATATATTAATAAATTCTCAGTTTGCTGACATAATTGAACATCTGTTCATAAAAACTCCAACAAAGTGGGTTTAGAGGGAACATATCTCAACATAATAAAGGCCATATATGAAAAACCCACAGCTGGGGCGCCTGGGTGGCTCAGTTGGTTAGGCGACTGCCTTCAGCTCAGGTCATGATCCTGGAGTCCTGGGATCGAGCCCCACATCGGGCTCCCTGCTCAGCGGGGAGCCTGCTTCTCCCTCTCCCTCTGCTGCTCCCCCTGCTTGTGCTCTCTCGCTGTCTCTCTGTCTCAAATAAATAAAAAATTTTAAAATATTTTATTTATTTACTTATATGACAGAGAGAGAGAGATTGCGAGAGCAGGAACACAAGCACGGGGAGTGGGAGAGGGAGAAGCAGGCTTCCCGCCGAGCAGGGAGCCCGATGTGGAACTGGATCCCAGGACCCTGGGATCATGACCTGAACTGAAGGCAGATGCCTAATGACTGAGCCACCCAGGCGCCCCTCAAATAAATAAATATTAAAAAAAATAAAGCTGTAGTAATCAAAATGGTATGGTGCTGGAACAAGAATAGACACATGGGTCAGTGGGACAGTATAGAGAGCCCAGAAATAAACCCACAAATATATGGTCAATTATCTTTGACACAGTGAGAAAGAATATGCAATGAGAAAAGACAGTCTCTTCAACAAATGGATTTGTATCAACCTACATTTGTAGCTTTCACGCTTACTTTAATTCTACATGTAGGCATAAGCCTGTCTACTTTATTATGTCTTCTAGTGAAGTTTGACCTAGAATTTACAAATTGAAATACTTGTTATTAGAAATTACTTTCCTAAAAAAAAGAAATTACTTTCCCTTTCTTTACCCTCACACTTATATTAATTATTTAAAGTATGAGTATAGATATTTTATCTATGAATTTCATCCCAGTAATGAAAGGGATGTTAAAATATTTTAAAAGGGCACGGTGAATATGATAGATAATGAACCACCACTCCACCTTTTCCAACTTTATTACTCTTTCAATTTGGTTTCAGACAAACAGCTCTTTCTATACTCCTTACAATAAGGGTAAGATTTGGATTTTTGCAAACCAATCATGGAAAAGGAATAATCAGATATTTAGGTGCTGGAAATATTGCAATTGGAAACAGAGATGATGCAAAAGAAAGGAAGGGAGGGAGGGAGGGAGATGCAATTGCAGCAAATAATTTGAGTCAGGAACACAGGAGAGTGGAGACAAAGTTTGATAAGCCAAGTGATGAAAAAATAACACTACAAGCTAACCCATAGCACAGTGGTGAAGGAAAAAAACAATACCAAGTCCTCATAAATTCTTCCAGAAAACTAAAGAGGCAGTAGCAGTTCCTAACTCATTCTTTGAGGCCATTACCCTGATACCAAGGCCAGATAAAGACACTACAAAAAGAATGAACAAATGAATGAAAGGAAAGAAAAAAGAAAGAGAGAGAGAGAGAGAGAGAGAAAGAAAGAAAGAAAGAAAGAAAGAAAGAAAGAAGAAAGAAAGAAAGAAAGAAAGAAAGAAAGAAAGAAAGAAAGAAAGAAAGAAAGAGAGAGAGAAAGAAAGAAAGAAAGGGAGAGAGAAAAGGAAGAAAGAGAGAGAGAGGAAGAAAGTAAACTATAGACCAACATCCCTGATGAATATTGACACAAAAATCCTCAACAAAATACTCTCAAACAGAATTCAACAGCACATTAAAAGGATGTGTCTTACATCCTTACATACATTATGGGTAAGTGGAATTTTTTCCCGGAATGTAAGAATCGTTCAACATATGAAAGCCAACCAATGAAATATACCAAATTAACAGAATCCTAGGAAAAACACCACATGATCATTTCAATTGATGCAGAAAAAGCATTTGACAAAATTCAACACCTTGTCGTGATAAAAACATACAAAAAACATGGAATAGATAGAAACTTCCTGAACGTGATAAAAAATATATATGAAAAATCCAGAGGGGCACCTGGGTGGCTCAGTCGGTTAAGTGCCTGACTCTTGGTTTTGGCTCGGGTCATGATCTCAGGGTCCTAGGATTGAGCCCCATGTTGGGCTCCCTGCTCAGTGGGGAGTCTGCTTGTCTCCCTCTCTCTCTGCCCCTCCCCCTACTCAAATAAATAAATATATATTTTTTAAAAGCCAAAGAAAAATCCAGAGGTAATATTCTCAATAGCGAAAGACTGAAAGGTTTTCCTCTAAAGTCAGGAACAAGGCAAGGATACCCACTTTCACTACTTCTAGTCAACATGTTACTCTGATTTTTAGCGAAGAACAATTAGGCAAGAAAAAGAAATAATAAAAAACATCCAAATTGGAAAGGAGGAAATAAAATTGTATCTGTTTTCAGATGATATAATCTTATATGTAGAAAACCCTAAAGATTACACACATGAAAAAACTGTTAGGGAGTGCATTGAATGTGTAGGTTGCTCAGGGTAACATAGACATTTTAACAATATTTGTTCTTCCAATCCATGAAGCATAGAATGTTTTTCCATTTCTTTGTGTCACTCTCAACTTCTTTCATAGATGTTCTATAGTTTTCAGAGTACAGATCCCTTACCTCTTTGGTTAGGTTTAGTCCTAGGTAGCTTATGGTTTTTGGTGCAATCATAAATGGAATTGATTCCTTAATTTCTCTTTCTTCTGTCTCAGTGGATAGAAATGCAACTGATTTCTATGCATTGATTTTATATCCTGCCACTTTGCTGAATTCCTGTATGAGATCTAGCAATTTTTGGGTGGAGTCTTTTGGGTTTTCCACATAGAGTATCATGTCATCTGTGAAGATTGAGAGTTTGACTACTTCTTTGCCAATTTGGATGCCTTTTATTTCTTTTTGTTGTCTGACTGCTGAGTACTATGTTGAACAGCAGTGGTGAGACTGGACATCCCTGTCATGTTCCTGACAACAGAAAAGCTCTCAGTTTTTCCCCATTGAGAATGATTTTTGCTGTGGGCTTTTGCATATGGCTTTTATTTTATTTTAAGGTTTTATTTATTTATTTGACAGATAGCGAGAGCAGGAACACAAGCAGGGGGAGTGGGAGAGGGAGAAACAGGTTTCCCACTGAGCAGGGAGCCCGATGTGGGACTCAATCCCCAGACCCTAGGATCATGACCTGAGCC